CTAGTGTGATAGTTGTAATATACCAATTAACAATTTTTCAAAATATTGCAAAATATTTTCCATTGCATGTTATACTGAGTATGGTGATTCTGTTAAGCATCTTCAGAGACTTAGTGCTATGTAAATTAAATTATGCATACATTTGCAACCTTTGGGAATTTTGTGGCTTCACAAGCTGTGAGGAATAATGAATCCTTCTTGTATAATTTGTTTGAACTATGCCTCATTGACTTCAGAATTTCGGTTTTATTTTCCTTGAATATATTGGACACTTCTAATTAATTTTAAAGTATTAAGATTATTAAGGTCTCATGCTTAAATTACCTTCTGATAGTATCTTCTTACTGAATTATTTTTCTGCTTTTTCAGGTTTATTTCAAAGGGTTTAAATATGACCAGCATATATTGGTGACGATCAACGCACTATGACATGATTAGCATTTCTCCTATACTAGCAAAAATGTGACCATTCTCAGAAAAGGAGGGAGTTTGATTGCCAGAATTTTTATATTTGCATAGCATATTCAACTCTCTGAGTGGTTCTTGGATTTTGCTTTTACTGTTCATAGCATGGGTTGTCAAGAGCTGTGATGGTTAATAGCTCAGAGGTCAGTTTTACTAAATGAAAGAGATACATCTTTCTCATTCATACTACCACTGCTAAATTGAATTTTTTACTAATTTGAATTTGGTTGCCATGAGCAACTATGTTCACATTACTAATAAAGTCATATATGCATCAGGAAAGAGAAAATAATACCTCTCAACTTTCCTAGGGTAAAAAAGAAGGGAATGGTGGCCATTGTGCAAAAGCACTGCATCCCTAAAAGGTAATTCCACTTTTGTGGGAAAAAATTGGCAAATTAAAAAAAAAATAATATAGCATATACAATTGCGACACAAGTCAGATTGTATTTGAATGTTGTTAAAATGAACTTTCCTTTTCAATCTGCAGTGCTGTAATTTTCTGTAAAATGCAATGCAATATGGCTACTTGGAGGTATTCTGTACACAGATGATGAACAGAACTCCCCTTGAAAATGTACTGTAATTTCCTGCTCGTGTGATTGGCTCACTTATTTTCCCAGAAGTCTTCACTAAGATATACAAGTCATATTTTTGGCATCCACTGCAACAAAAATGCCAGTTTTGTTGAGATACTCCCAAAGTGAAATCAAATCTAAAGGGATGCAGACCTTGCCAATATTCTCATTATAGCCCTGCAGGTGCAGCAGCTGATAATAACTCACATACAGATTCATTCTGCACATGGGCTGTTAGACACCGCCCAGCGTGATCTCTAGTGATCCACAGAACGGGATTCCCCAGCACGCGGAGTCTAAGTCCCAGTCTGCCTTTTCACCAGAGCCCCTGATGGTGGGGATGGACTTGCAAGACTGAAACCAGGTCGCGACCCCTGAGTGCACCCAACTGTGGTAGAAGGGTATGTGCCAGGGGTGAGCCTGAAGTGAAGAGGCTGACAAGTCCAGGTCCCGAGCGGGATGGATGGATGACAGGAGTGAGTGTAGTCAGACTAGCCGGGTCGATAACAGTGGAGGCAGGTAGGTACCAAGCAGAAGACAGAGAGTAGCCGGGTCACGAGCCAAGGTTCAGCAATGGGAGGTCCAGTAATAGTATAACAGGCAGAAGAGTAGTCAGGGACGAGCCGGGGGTCAGAGCAGGAGAAGATCAACACAATTCAGGACAAGCAGGATCGGCAACAGGAACGTACTTCAGAACACAGGAACAGGAACTAGGACCTTGCGGCAAACTGATCACCAGCAAACACAAATGCTCCTGCGCTTGGGGATGGACTCAATGCAGGCTACAACCACATTAAGAATGTCCTGGAACATGCACACCTTGCTGCCCTCAAATGGACCGGGGGAATCCAAATATACTGAATGGGGAAAGAACAAAGAGAGGGCGCACAGGCCTAGTGCATTATCATAAAAAATGTTTAATAAAAAATAAAGTAGGTGTTGTACTCACAAACGACAATAAAGTCAAGGCACATCATAAAAGAACAGCTGGATCAACACTGCGCTGAGTAACAGTCCGCAATAGGGAGTTTAAACATCCAAAAGGCTGACGCGTTTCGAGGACTTGCCTCTTCCTCAGAGCCACTGATCACCACCTGGCCAGTTTAAATAGTGCGCCCTGCACCGTCATTGGTGCCAGGCGCATGCCTGCGTGTGCGAGTGCGCATGTGCGGCCGCAATTGCCGCCGCGGACGCCCAGCTCCCAGTGCCTGCACATTAGTGCGCCTAGGCAATCTGCGCATGCGCAGACTTATGCTCCGCCGCGAGACCCGTAGTCCCTGACATGGACACAGACAAACAAACAGCTATTTCTTCAGAATAACAAAAGGTAGGAGTATGCAACAAAGTATGTTACAATCCCTGCAAAGTACATAGATCACCCAGAGGAGAATGTTTTTTTTCTCATCAAAAGTAGAGTTACTCTTTAAATTGATTATAAGGATTTACAAGGAACTAATAATGAACTTTAATGAAACCCAGGGATTCACAAAACAAACATATATTAAAATAACATACACTTTTTATTTCAAGCAGCATATTAAAACCATTGACAAATAAAAAGCCTTTCTGTAAATCACATTTATGATGACAGGAATATAATTCCCTCATACAGAAAAAACTCCTTGGAAACCTATATGATAGTCACTCACAACTTTCAGTACAGTATATATTTTTTTTTAAAGCAATTGTACATAGACAAAAGAGTATTCAAGAAGGAACATTTCTGGTTCTTGAAGCATTTCATGGAAAGCAAACATTTCTTCAGGGAGAGAGGGAGACAAAGTACAGCTACAATGAAATACAAGGTTTTATCTGTATGAGGGAATTAGAGAAGGAAGAAATGTAGGTTTTTAATCTGTTAATGGTTTTATTATGTTTCATGAAATAAAATGTTTATTTTTATATTTATATATATATACATTTTTTTTTTTTTTTTTGGATCTTTGGACACCATTTAAGTCCTTTATTAGTTCTTAGCTTTCCTAGGTAAGAAAGAGGTACACCTTTTAGCACAAGTTTATAAAGTAGCTAGAACACATGCCCATGCTATGCCAATGGTTACATGAACCAGGAATATTTAAAATACAAAAACACCCTGAAAAATGTTGTTTTCACTTCTACTTTTTGTTTCTACTTTTTTTTTTATTTAAATAACAAATGCCGTAATATAGACATAGTATGAAATGTTCAGTAATGCTATTAAATTAAAATTTTTATTGAGAGCTATAGATGACACCAAAAGCAGAGACAATTAAAGTGGAGCTCCACCCACAAGGGGAAGCTCCACTTGTTTTCACCCTCCACTGCCACATGTGGTATTTTTTTGGGGGAAGGGAGCACTTGGTTTTGACAGGTACCCGCTCCCACTTACAGCTCAGTTCGCCAGCCCCCTTCCTTCCTCCTGCAGTGTTCTAGGAAACTTTACAGGTCCCAGAAGACTACGGGACCAATCACAAGATCTAGCACAACTCGCACAAAGCTTTACTTCCGGTTTCCCTTACACGCAATGCCGGTGCAGGGAGCCTGGAGGCTAGTAAAGAATTAGCCCGGGTGACAACAATGCTGTACCCTTGGACAAGTAAGTATCCTTGTATTAAAAGTCACAGCTACAGTATTTGTAGACTTTTAATATTTTTGGGGGAGCCTGGAACTCCTCTTTAGGAAGAAAAGAGGGACAGAGGGATTTAGTTTTCAAAGAAGACAGTCACTCCAAATGAAGGAGAGCTGAGTTTAAAGGCTTTAACCCTTAATCTGCCAGAGCAGTTTTTGCAATTTATGCCCACATGTAGACATATATAATTTTAGGAATGAAGATTACATAAGACCCCCAAACATTATATATTTTCTAAAAGCATACACCCTCTAGAATAAAATTTTCATGCCCAATGGTTTATGAAATGCAACATTTCAGTAAAAAATACAGTAAAGGTAATTTTAGAGCACATACGCGCTCTATTACCTAATTTTTTGGTAAAATGTGCCAAACAAATAATTACCCAACGTGTCAAGCCTTAAAATTATGTGTGCCTTTAAAATATTTTGACACCCTATATTTTCCATAGGTGACACGTTAGAAGCCAATACAGTTAACCATGAGTGATGGGTCTAGAATTATTGCTCTCACTCGGCTGTGCATGTCAATATGTACCATGTGTGTAGTGCAATCAACATTTCCATGCATAGGAAGCCCTAAAACATGACTTACGTATGTGGGGGAGTATATAGCTTTAATTTTTGTTGCACTTTTTTTACAAAATTTTTTTTCATCAAACGTGATGGTTTTTTGGTGACAAATTCTCTTCAGTGAGACATCAGGGATCTAACAGACCCCTAATGTCTCACATGCCCTCCAATTAAACTAACAAAGTGCAGATCGCACTGCATTTGTTTCTTCCCCAGCCATACTAGTAACACAGGGACTGTGTGGATGAATGTTTTACACATCGCTTCTAGTTCAGTAACAGGAAGGGGAGACCAGTGAACAGAATTTTGCTGGTCTCCCTCCCCTCTACCTGGTGGCAATTTCTATGACTGTCCTTGATCAAACTATGGGCACGTAGAGCCCAGGAAACATGGCAGGGGCATGCAAGGGTGGCAGCCATTATCGGGGTGTGTGGAAGTGATCTGGTGGTTGTATAGCCAGCAATCTGCTCATCAGATTTAAACTCACCCCCAGTGACAGCAGTTTAGGGGGGGGGGTGAAAACTCCCTGCTGCCACCAATGTAGTACATCAATGGTAGAAAAAGGTTTAACCACCTCCCGCCCGCCATATAGTACAATGACAGGTGCAAGACGGTTCTCTGGTTCTAGGAGGACGTCATATAACATCCTCCCATTCTAACCGAGCATGCGCGACTCAGGGAGCGTGCAGCATGCCGATCGGTGGTGCGCTGTGTCCCTCGGACACAGCGGATCACTGATTAATGAACAGAGCTGAAGATATCAGCTCGGTCATGTGATCAGCTGTGTCCAATCACAGCTGATCACATGTAAATAGGGAAATGCCGGTTAGCGGCATTTCCCTCCTCACGAGCTGTCACGCTGACAGTTCAAGAGGAGAGGAGAGACAGAAATCAGCATTCCTCAGATGGGACATGTGCACTGATCATCAGGGCACTGATGATCAGTGTGCCCTGATGATCTGTGTAGCCCCTGCAGTTCCAGCTGTCAGTTGTCCATCAGTGCTAGCTGTCAGTGCTCATCCATGCCACCTGCCAGTGCCCATCAGTGCCACATCAATGCCACATATCAGTACCTACCAGTGCACATGCCATATATCAGTGCCTATCTGAGCTGCCTTTCAGTGTCACCCATCAGTGCCAGTCAGTGCCACCTATCAATGCCAGTCAGTGCCACCTGTCAGTGCTGCCTATCAGTGTGCATCAGTGCCACCTATCAGTGCCCGTCAGTGTCGCCTATCAGTGCCAGTCAGTGCCGCCTATCAGTGCCATATATGAGTGCTGCCTTTCAGTGCCCATTAGTGATGCCTGTCAATGCCCATCAGTGCCACCTACCAGTGCCTCCTCGTCAGTGCCCATCAGTGCCACCTGTCTGTGTCCATCAGTGCAGCCTATCAGTGCCCATCACTGCAACCTCATTAGCGCACATCAGTGAAGGAGAAAAATCACTTATTTACAAAATTTTATAACAAAAACTAAGAGAAAACATTTTTTTTTGGTTTGTTTAAGAAAAAATAAAAAACCCAGAGGTGATTAAATACCACCAAAATAAAGCTCTATCTGTCACAAAAAATAATAAAAATTTCATATGGGTACAGTGTTGCATGACCACGCAATTTTCATTCAAAGTGCAACAGTGCTGAAAGCTGGAAATTGGCCTGGGCAGGAAGGAGGTATAAGTGCCCTGTAGGCAAATGGTTAAAGTATATGCAAAACAAAAACTTTTTTTCATCATGAATAGAGTATGAAAGGGTTAAACTGAATTTCAGTTTGTTTTCTGTTTTTATACTGCTGAGGAGATTTGTTTTGACTTTGTGTAGTGGAGCCAAAAAAGGAAGTGAGAGTAAAGCTCTAAAAATGGAGGGGAATTCTCCTCTTAGTTATCAACAAAATGTGCTCGAACAGAAGTCTTCCCCTTTATTTTTTTTTGGGGGTAACAGTAACATTTCCCATAATTTTTGTCCTTCAGTAACAATGGGCAACAGGACAGATTTAATCTCAAGGACAACCCAGTGAGACACCGTTAAAATAAATAAATAAAATAAATAAATAAATAAAGGGGTTCTTACGCTTTTCTATTCTAGCCAAAACATAACATTTTGCCTATACATATGCTTTAATCCTTATTTTATGGTACAGTGTAGAGTCATGCAGATGACCCCTTTATGCATCTGGATTAATTGTACATCCACAACTGGTGGTTTACATTTGAAATACAGCCTAATAATATAGAGCTATTTATTCCAAGCTACATATACTGTATGTGTTTCAGGTCTATTTTCTATCACCATTGATATTTTCTTTGCAGCTGAAAATGCCAGAATGCATTTGATAATGCCTTTTTACAAATTACATAATTGCTGTGTGGATGAAAGGATTATATTTCTCCATGTTGCCATCAACAGTAACATAATTAATATGGAATGTGCATGTGGCCCGTGAGTCATGAATTTGTACACTGGGTTTTATGGTGTAAGGTGACTGCAAATTATCTGCTTTTACAGCTGGGGTCATTATATGCATTTGCGAGTTTAACCACTTCAAGGTACTTTTACCCCCTTCCTGCCCAGGCCAGTTGTCAGTTTTCAGCACTCTTGAATGACAATTGAGTGGTCATGCAACACTGTCTTTTGTTGTGATTAGCTGTGATTGTCTACTGCTAATCACATGACAATGATGGGCTTTGATTGGTCTCCTCTGTACATGTGATCACTGTGACCACAGTTGTATACAATGGATGGCATGAAAGGAAGACATCCATTGTTTACAACTGTCATGTGACCTGCTGTGACTGATCACAGCAGTCACATGGTACCAGCAATGGGACAATACACAGATCAGTCATTGGCTGTGTCCTATGGCAACAGCCGGTGACAGATCTCGCCACAGCATGGCCTCGCAGACATGCTTGGCCATCAGTCTCCTATAGGCCTGCCAGGAACTGGTTAAGACTTACATATAGGGGGAACCCATTGCCCTAATATGGATCAAAGGGGTGCAAGCAGGGTGAGATATGCTGTTTCAAAACTAGGAACTGTATTGCACCTTCTGTAGATCTGCTATAACAGTGTGTATTACACTACTGTGAAAAGTTTTAGGCAGGTGTGAAAAAAATGCTGTAAATAAAGAATGCTTTCAGAAAAACAAGTGTTAATAGTTTCTTTTTTATCAATTAACAAAATGTAAAGTAAATGAACAGTTGAGAATCCTAATCAAATTAATATTTGATGTGACTACTCTTCTGCCTTCAAAAGAGCATCAATTCTTCTAGGTACACTTGCATGCAGTTTGTGAAGGAACTTGGCAGGTAGGTTATTCCAAACATACAGAACTACTCACAGATCTTTTTTGGATGTAGGCTTCTTTTAATCCTTCTGTCTCTTCATGTAATCCCAGATAGACTTGATGATGTTGAGATCAGTGCTCTGTTGGGGCCAAATCATCACTTCCAGGACTCCTTGTTCTTCTTTACACTGAATATAGTTCTTAATGACATTGGATACATATTTGGGATCATTGTCCTGCTGCAGAATAAATTTGGGGCCAATCACACACCTCCCTGATTGCATGGTATGATGTATAAGTATTTCTCAGCATTGAGGACATCATTGATCCTGACCAATTCTCCAACTTCATTTGTAGAAATGCAGTCCCACACTTGCAAGGAACCTGCACCATGCTTTACTGTTGCCTGCAGACACTCATTGTACCTTCCTCCAGAATTTTAGTAAACAAACTGCCTGCTACAGTCACATATTTCAAATTTTGATTCATTGTTCCGGAGCACCTGCTGCCATTTTTCTACATCCCAGTTACTATGGTGTAATGCATAGATAAGTCACTTAGTATTATTTCCATGTCAGTGGCATGGCTTTTTAGCCACAATTTTTCCATGAAGACCACTTCTGGCCAGATGCCTCTGAACAGTAGTTAGGTGTACTTGGGTCCCACTGGACTCTGCAAGTTCTGTGCTAATGGCACTGCTGGACATCCTCTGGTATTGAGGGGGAGTAAGCAGTCACACCAAATATTGATTTGATTGAGATCTTTCTTCTGTTTGCTCACTTTGCATTTAATAAAGATAAACAATTCAAATATACATTTTTGAAAGCATTCTTATGTTACAGCATACCTGCCTAAAACTGTTGCACAGTACTGTATATATATTGAAGTTGTAGTAAACTCTTCCCATACAAATAAAAAAATCCCCTCCAAGGCAATGCCATATGTGATGCATACTAGCACATTAAGAAAGGCTTACCTTAAAACTAAGCCCTCCAGCGGTGTACTGTCACAGCTGCAGAGGCTTCTATCTTTACCTGGTCTTGCTTTCAGGTTCACAGGATTTGGTCCTTAGAATGGCCGAGCTGCGATGATGCCACAGCCATGTATGCGTGTGAGAGTTACAGGCACTGCACAGAGCTCTGTAGGAATGGCACAGGTATGTCTTTCCTTCAGAGAACTTGCACCAGTGATGTCATTGGCCGCAGCAACAGTAAATATCTCCTAAATGGTACATGTTTAGGAAATATTCTCTGTACCTACAGGTAAGCCTTATTATAGGCCTACCTGTTGGTACAACTGAATAAAACTATCACTTTAATTCTGTAATTAACAGCATGCATAGCCTGATAGGCTGATTCCTTTCCTTCCTTCCACCTAATTTTCATCATATCGTATATTACTTCTTTAACTATTTTGCTGTAAAGATCCCAGTCAGCATTTGTTCAGTCTATGTTTCTCTGCAATCTTAGTTACATTTTGCAGTGTATTAATTTGTTTTGTGCTGTACAGTGTTGCTGTAGGTAGTGGCCACGCTGTGGAAATTAATATTTGTTTAATGAGTTTACATAGAACATCATTTATACAATTACTAATGCAACCTGTATTAAATGTTCTTATGATTTCCAGCTTAGCTAATGGTGAAGGTGATTATTAAACGTAAGCATGGGAAAGCAGCAAGGAAACAATTACTCTTTTCCGCTACTGCATTCTAAGTACACATTAATTATATCAAACAATTTAAAGATTATTTAAATTAAGGAATTAGAGACTCACCCATGTCAATTGTTATTTTAAGACTCTACCCTGTAGTGAATTCCAGCTGATAAAAGATCTGCTGAACTCTAATGTATTTTAGTCATTAACATTAACTGTCTGACTGCCGACAAAGTAATATTATTACCCCATATTTGTGAATGTTTGGGCTTTTTGGGTAGTATATTGAAGTGAATATATATGATGCAATTCCTCTATGATGGCTACTAAAAAGATAAACAAATACGATACTTAAGTTGGATACAAAAATGAAGTAATCATAAATGTCCAGATATCAGGACAACATGGAACTGCAAAACATTATAGTGCAGCTAATGAAAAGCTTAGGTACATTGACAGACTATGATAGCTAGGAATAGTAATACAGTATTTAAAACCAGATCCTCACCACCTCAATATCAGAAAGATATTGTGAGGGAAATAGCAAATATGATACTTTCCTTTTTGCAAAATGTATACTATATGATGCTCACACTTAGTAACTCAGGATCAAACTAGTGTGCTTGAATTCTAGACTCAATTACTCATATAAAACCTTTGTACTATGCAAAGTAATCAGCCAGTTCAGATGATCCATAGATAATAGTGATTAAATAAACAAAAACAGTACATTTGTACACCCAGAGCATAACAACTACTGCCCAGGCACCATTTTATGCATACTGGTATCCTGGAAATAGATATGGCCCTGGTTAATGCCTGAACATAAATGGTGTCAGCCTTCTAGAGATAAAGAAACCTAAAAGTACCATCAGCTAGTGTACTGTGATTTCTTTGAGAAGTATGCTTTATTTACACACATGTAATAGAAAATGTATTTGCATTTATTTCTTTAGATTACATTTGTGTCTATTGATCAAAGATAAAAGTAGTCAAAAGTCACAAATGATGTTGGCAACAATGTTTGCTGAACAAGATCTTTTTTTATCTGGGGACAGTATTCTGCCATCCTAATTGCAATCCTAATCCAAATGGATATTAACATTTCACCTGCAATTATTATTTCACTTCCAACTGTTTCTATATATCCTGTACATAATGTTCTCATGAAAGCCTGTCACTTGAACTTTTACACAAAATGAACAACAACCTGTTAATGCTGGCTAAATGATGTTGTAACTAATAATATAGTTCAAGTGTTTTCCAGACACTCAGTTGTTTCACCCAAGAGTTTCCAGGAAGTAATACTTGTTGTTCTATTAATTACAGTTATTGAAGTGAA